CCAGAGGAGAGAAGACAAGCATCTAAATCAACAAATGACATAAGTTTTGAGTTAGGAGGAATAATGAGAGAGATGGGTACTTTTAGAGGTAACATGATGGGCTTTTAAATGCCCGGAAATGCTTTTCTCTGCATGGGACATTTATCATATGCAGGTCAGGAAGGAGATACTGGGTTTTCCTGCCCAAAAGTATGATGGCTGTTGAACTTGGTGATCCATAGGGTGACTCTATGATTCATTGGCCAATCTGGGACTTTTTGGGTGATACTAAGATGTCACACTGGATAGAACAATGGGGCAGAAGAAATAACCTGGAACTGTCCTAGCCCAGTCAGGACCTGTCAATCATCCTTGATCAAGGTATCTATCAGTACCCACCACCCAGCCCCCTGCCCGGCAGCTGCCTTCCATTTCTCTGGGCCTTGACATGCTCTCAGTATCCTGGCGGGGTGAGGGGTTGCTGAGAGCTGGCGTCTGCAACATCTGATTCCACTTGGGGACTGTCGACTGTCCAAAATTGTTCTGTGACGAATCAGAAAGGGCAGTATTTTCCTCTGGTTTATCCATGACCTTTTCCCCTCTGTTTGGGGCTGGGCCTCTGTGTTGGGAGCCCGGTTTTGGGAGAGGCCCTCTCCTTTCTGCCAACATCTTCTGGGTGTTTGGAGTTTTATCCTCTTCTTGGGTAGAAATTTGGTCTCTGACTCCTGGATTCTGTTCTGTCTGTTATTCCCGCATTCTAAACTCCCGGGGAAAAACTCTCCTTTAACTTCACTTGGGGGTGTTCAGGTAAGCCAGGAACTATTGCCATGGTGGGTGGGCTCAGATATGATTTCTCTCAAGTGGGATCCAAGAAGCATGGGAGCATCCCGTGGAGGTCAAGGGGCAGGAGATGCTCTGCACTTTGAGTCCCATGGCAGAGATTTGGCAATGGCCAACCTAGATAGCATATTAAAAAGCAGAGACATTACTTTGCCAACAAAGGTCCGTATAGTCAAGGCTATGGTTTTTCCAGCGGTCATGTATGGATGTGAGAGTTGGACTGTGAAGACAGCTGAGTGCCGAAAAATTGATGCTTTTGAACTGTGGTGTTGGAGAAGACTCTTGACAGTCCCTTGGACTGCAAGGAGAGCCAACCAGTCCATCCTAAAGGAGATCAGTCCTGGGTGTTCATTGGAAGGATTGATGCTGAGGCTCAAACTCCAATACTTTGGCCACCTGATGCGAAGAGTTGACTCATTGGAAAAGACCCTGATGCTGGGAGGGATTGGGGGGTGGGAGGAAAAGGGGATGAGAGAGGATGAGATGGCTGGATGGCATCACCGACTCGATGGACATGAGTTTGAGTAAACTCCGGGAGTTGGTGATGGACAGCGAGGCCTGGCGTGCTGCAATTCATGGGGTCGCAAAGAGTCGGACACGACTGAGTGACTGAACTGAACTGAACCCCTGAACTTTCTCTAGAAAAATCCTTTTATATTAATACATACTTTGGAGTTTGCAAAACACTTTTCTGCGTATAATCTCATTTGATTCTGAGATATCACATAATCAGTACTAGCTTTTGAATACTTTGTATGTGTATGTGCTCAATAGTTTCCGACCCTGCAACTGCATGGACTGGAGCCCACCAGGCGCCTATGTCCATGGGATTTCCCAGGCAAGAATACTGGAGTGGGTCGCCATTTCCTACTCCAGGGGATCTTCAGACCCAGAGATCAAACCCTCATTTCTTGCATCTCCTGCATTGGCAGGTAGATGCTTTACCACTGAGCCACCTGGGAAGCCCAGTGCCTACTTATTAATTAAAAACTGACCGTATATAGGGCTCCCCTGGTGGCTCAGTGGTAAAGAATCTGCCTGCAATGCAGGAAGACTTGGGTTTGGTCCCCGGGTCGAGAAGGGATCGAAGATCTCCTGGAGATGGAAATGGCAACTCATTCCAGTATTCTTGCCTGGGAAGTCCTATAAACAGAGCCTGGTAGGCTACAGTCCAGGGGGTCACAAAGGGTCAGACATGACTTAGCGACTAAACAACAACAGCAATATATAACATATTTTAAATAAATAATATTTTTATTTAACATAAATACAAATAGCATATCTTAATGAAAAATAATATTTTTCAAAGCAAAAAGTTGTAAGAAAGTATGGCATTATTTTACGTTTTTGCATATCTTTTTTTCTAGCCTTATTGAGGTATAATTGATTATAATAAACTGTACATATTTAAAATGATCTAATCTGTTGAGTTTGGGCATATGTACAAACCCATGAAGCCACCATCATAATCAAGGTAATGAGTGTATCCACTACCCCCAAAAGATTCCATGAGTCCCATGTAGAGTCCTTCCTTCTGCTCTCCAGGTGGTGTTATTAATCATTACAGTTATTTTAGTGGGCTTCCCTGGTGGCTCAGTTGGTAAAGAATCTGCCTGCGATGCAGGAGACCTGAGTTCTATCCATAGGTTGGGAAGATCCCCTGGAGAAGGAAATGACAACCCACTCCAGTAATCTTGCCTGGGAAATCCCGTGGACAGAGGAACCTGGTGGGCTACAGTCCTTGGGGTCTCGAGAGTCGGACACGACTTAGTGGCTAAACCACCACCACAATTATTTTAATGGTGCCTCTGAGTTTTAAGAGCTTTGGTGACTTGCCGAAAATGGTGTGGCAGCGACTTCCCTGGCAGTCCCGTGGTTAAGACTTCTCCTTCCATCGCAGGAGATACAGGTTCAATCCCTGATTGGGGATCTAAGATTCCCCTAAGATGCTTCCCAGCCCCCAAACCCAAAGAATAAAAGAGAAGCCTTATTGTGACAAATTCAATAAAACTTTAAAAAATGAGCCACATCGAAAAAAAAGAAATCTTTAAAACAAAAAACAGCCCAAAATGATGCAGCTGGGAAGTGACAGAGATGGGGCCCAAGACCCAGTAAGTCTTCAGACCCGAGTACCCGTGATCTTTCCATGACCATGACAGTGGTGACGGTTTCCCCCACTGCTTCTGTGGGTTTTGGAGATGGACAGAAGCCCAGGGAACACTTAATCCAATTCTGTTGCTGACACCTCATGTGGTCCCAGTCCTTCCAGAGTACTGGGTTGCCCTGGGGGACCCTGTAGCTAAAGGATTAGATGGGGAACTGGCTTTCTTGGCCCTTGGTGTGAAAGAGGATCTGACTCCTTAATTTTTGCCAGGTTCCCCACTCCCCAATTCATCTTCACCTGGACTTGAACAGAGGTTTCCTAGGTGGCTTCTCTCTGGAGCACAGTGGTTTCAGTGCAGAGATTAAATCCTGTGCGGCCAGGTCCAGAGATCATCTCTTCTGGGTGCCTCTCCAATCTGGTACTTGACCCAAGGGATCCACCCAGCACGGAAGGCTGCCTCCCACTCCTGGGAACTTCTGGTGATGGCTCTTTGACAAAATTATGAAAAGAGTGGCTGGGTTTCCATCTCTACAGGACTCTGGCTGGACTGTTCCCTGTCTTTGCTTGGGGACTAGGAGCAGCCTTTCCCATGAAAGCAGTCATGCTGCTGCTATTTTGGGGGGTGGTCCCTGGGACAGGCTTCATGGGCAATTGGTCCTGCCCTCCATCTTTGCCGATCATGCATGCATTCTCCTGTTGGCCCAGGGAGGAGAGGGTTAGAGAGGAGAATCATCCTGGGCCTCCCACGAAAGCAGGGTTTCACCTTTCCTCTGCCAGTCAGGAAGTTCTTCGCTGAACTTAATTCCAAGCCACTGTGTCTTCAGGACATCTGGATGGAGCCTGTCCCCAGACCATGGGTTGGAAGTTCCTGCAGGAGGTTAAGACTTTGTTCTTAATAATGACATGGGTAGACCAGGTGTTCCTCCAGGGGGAATGAGGCACTCTCTGCTCTCAGCTCTACATGTACCCCACCCTTCTCCTTATTCTGCAATGATGACTGCACTGGCCACAGTTTCAGGCCACCTGGTGTCACTTCTCCAGCTGTGTGGACATCAACCTTGGTGATCTGAGAATGTGGGAGCCCCTGGCAGGGGGGTTGTCTCACCCTCCTCGGTCCTCATAGATCTGAGGTGACCTGGGTTGGTGACGTCTGGGAGGCGTCTGCCCCCCTTGGCCCCTCTCTATCGTCTCCCCACCGCCCACCCTGGTAGCCTCGATCTGGGGCCTCGATGCACTGCAGCTGGTGTTCTCACGGCAGGGCTGGGCCTGGAGCACACGCAGGCGTCTGGGGTTAGTGTCGGGGTGGCTTGGCCGGGCTGCAGGGGAAGGAGGCTTGTGGAGTATCGGTTTCCAGCGTTTGGCTGGGACTGCCTCCCATTCACTCTTGTCTCTCCAGAGGGAGGACATGGTCTGGTGCAGCTACATGCAATCTTTGGAAAACAACAATGAGATATAAACAATATGGATAACCTCACCAGGAGTGTGTGACCTCTGGTCCCTAACGAGGGTTTTGAGCAGTGGCTGGAGCTCCAGAGAGAGGTGGCTGGGGGCGTGATTTCCCCCATCCCAGCCCCTTGTCCCCTATGTACCTAACCTCTCATGAAGGGAGAGGGACACGGGGCTGCCCTGGATGGGTTGAGAGCCCTTGGGTATGTGCTGCTGTCATGAGCGCCAGGGGATGGACCGTGATCCGGGAGACCTGGATTCCATTCCTGGCCCAACTACTAGCTGTATGTCCATAACCCAGCAACTCAGCCTCCTGAGCTCTGGGTCTTCATTTGCTACTTGAGAAAGATGTAAAGCATTGCTGGAGGGCTCTCCCACTCCAAGTCCTCGGGCCAAGTCAGTTCTCTTTTCTGAAATGCACCATGGCCATCAGTTGGCCCTGCTTTGAGCTGTCAGTATGGGGTTGTTGAATAGCATGTGGAAGTCTGATGGCTGGCAAGTAGAGAGACCCAAGACTTCCTTTATTCATCAGAGCATCTCTTATTCTTTTCCTTAATGCAGCAACACCCTTACAATCCTATAAGGCATAGAGGTTCCAGGATCCTCCAACTCCAGCTCAGCTCCACTGTGTTTTGTGAGCATCAGGATATGCTCATGCCGATGCAGTAGACCTCTAGGGATGGGAGTGGTGACCTGCAGATGCGGTGAGGACCTGGGGCTACCGAGAGGAACAGAGATGCCCTCCTGAGAGATCTGTATAAGGGCTCCTGGTAAGGTGGAAACTTGAGCAGTACCAGGGCTACTAGACAGAACATGTGTGATCACGTCTGCTTGCTGTTGGATCTCTTTAATGTTTTTAACTGTAAGCTTTTTATTTGTATTGGGTTTAGCCAGTGAACAATGTTGAGGTAGTTTCAGGTGAACAGTGAAGGGACTCAGCCCTACGTATGCTGTTGTTCAGTCACTCAGCCGTGTCTGATTCTTTTGTGACCCCATGGACTGCAGCATGCCAGGCTTCCCTGTCCTTCACTGTCTCCCAGAGTTTGCTCAAATTCATGTCCATTGAGTCGATGATGCCATCCAACCATCTCATCCTCTGTCACCCCCTTCTCCCACCCTCAGTCTTTCCCAGCATCAGGGTGTTTTCCAATGAGTTGGCTCTTTGCATCAGGTGGCCAGAGTATTGGAGCTTCAGCTTCAGCATCAGTCCTCCCTTTGAATATTCAAGACTGATTTCCTTTAGGATGGACTGGTTTGATCTCCTTGCAGTTCAGGGGACTCTCAAGAGTCTTCTTTAGCATCACAATTTGAAGGCATCAATTGTTTGGCACCTACCTTTCTTTATGGTCCAACTGTCACATCTGTACACGATTACTGGAAAAAACATAGCTTTGATTATACAAACTTTTGTCGGGAAAGTGATGTCTTTGCTTTTCAATATGCTGTTTAGGTTTGTCATAGCTTTTCTTCCAAAGAGCAAGTGTCTTTTAATTTCATGGCTGCAGTCACTGTCCACAGATGTATCTGTTCCTCCCCAAACCCGTCTCCCATCCAGGCTGGCAGATAACATTGAGCAGAGTTTCATGTGCCATACGATAGGTCTTTGTTAGTTATCCATTTTAAATGCAGCAGTGTTGATATGACCTTCCCAAAATCTCTAACTATCTCTTAGCCCCAGTAACCATGTTTGTTTTCTAAGCCTGTGAGTCTATTTGTGTTTTGTAAGTTCATTTGTGAATTTTGTTTTTAGATTCTACATATAAGGGATGTCATATGATATTTCTCCTTCTCTGTCTGACTTACTTTACTCAGTATGACACTCTCTAGGTCCATACATGTTGCGGCAAATGTCATTCTTTCATTCTTTTTAATGGCTGAGTAATATTCCATTGTATATGTGTATCACATCTTCTTTAAAGAAGAGGGAGGAAGGGAGAGACTGGCAGATGAGTTAGGGCACAGGTTCAAGATGGGGACCTGACTTTGCCTCCTATGTACTCAGGTTTCTGTTGGTTTACTTCTTTTTATTTTTTATGGAGTCACAGTGAAAGGAGTTGCATGGCTTTATGAGGCCTTTCAGTTGAGCTGGAGGGAGGTTCCTGCCTTGTCATGTAGTTCCCATTTGTTACCCCGGGGATAGGTGCATCCCCGAGATGGATGCATTTGTCTTTCTTAGAGAAACTTTTGTGAGTTGGTTCTCCTTTCTCTGATGACTGCAACCAAATTATATGTTACAGCTTATTTTACATGAACTTGAATTTTAGTTGCCTGGTGAGATTTGGGATCCCCTCCAGTCACCGTGATGACTTATTTATGAAATCTCTTCTAGGGATGGATTATATGCTCTGATGCCTAATTTCTTATACTTTAATGTTAAATTTCAGGTTGGTTTCACAAAGTAATGCTTTCTGGCCATGTCCTCAGATTCTGGAGATGAATAATACTTTGAACCAGCAGATTCCTGTAGGTCCATGGGACATTTTAAAAATCCTATATAGACAAAGGAAACTTTGAGCAGACTTCCCATGTGGCACTAGTGATAAAGAATCCACCTGCCAGTGCAGGAGATGCAAAAGATGTGGGTTCAATCCTGGGTTGGGAAGATTCCCCGGAGTTGGAGATGGTAATCCACTCCAGTATTTTGCTGGAAAATTACATGGATGGAAGAGCCTGGTGGGCTACAGCCCATGAACTGCAAAGAGTTGGACATGACTGAGTGACTGAGCACACAAAAACTTCAAGGCAATTAGCAAACCAGGATTTTAATCCAATAGGAGTGCATAAGTCACTTTAGTCATGTCTGATTCTTTATGACCCAGTGGACTGTAGCCCACCAGGCGCCTCTGTCCATGGGATTCTCCAGGCAAAACTCTGGAGTGGATTGCCATGCCCTCCTCCAGGGGATCTTCCTGACCCAGGGATCGAACATGCATTGCAGGCAGATTCTTTACCGTCTGAGCTCCCAGTCTATTCTGTCATTTGCAAGAGCTCTGGGAGGACCTATTCTGTGTCCAGCCTGTGCCAGATGCTTGGGGAGCCAAGTGAAGCATCAGACCCTGTCCCTGCAGTCAAAAAGCTGTCACCTTGATTGGAAAGAGTGGATCCTCAGTCTTCTCAATGGCTGACACCTAGTGAATGGTCCGCATTCAGACATCACAGTGGGAATCTCACGTTCAGTACCTCGGTTCCTCTTAGTAGCTCTGCAGTGTTTCTCATCTTCCTTGTTCACAGGAAGAAACTGTGGCTTTCTTGGTTAAGTGACTTGCCCAGTGCCCTACAGCTGTAAAATCTAGGATCCAGGTCCTAATCTGCTTGAATCCAAAGCCCAAGCTCTTTCTATTCCCATCCTATCCTGAAGAGGGGCTTCCCAGTTGGCTCTTGTGATTAAGAACCTGCCTGCCAATGCAGGAGACTTATGAGACACAGGTTCGACCCCTGGGTCAGGAAGATGCCCTGGAGGAGGGCATGGCAACCCACTCCAGTATTCCTGCATGGAGAATCCCATGGACAGGGGAACCTGGTGGGCTATAGTCCATGGGGTTGCAAAGAGTCAGACACGGCTAAAGTGACTTAGCATGCATGCACGCCTATGCTGAAAACCTGGTGATCTGAGGTGGAGCTGATGTAATAATAGTAGAAATAAAGCACACAGTAAATGTAATGCACTTGAATCATCCTGAAACCACCCCTGCTCCCCTAACCTGGTCTGTGGAAAATTTTTCTTCCATGAAACCGGTCCCTGGTACCAAGGAGGTTGGGGATTGCTGCCCTAAAGGAATCCAAATCCAGGGCAGAATGGAAGTCAGCTGGGCCTGGAGAACAGGGAAGTTTTTTTGTTTTTTTTTTTTAGCTCAATCTGTGTTAACCTCCAACTTTCGATTCCTAGGTTAGTTAAAAAGAGCTTCTGCATTTGGTGATGGTTCTGCCGAGGGATTTGCATGTTTTTTTTTTTTTTCCAGCAGACATAGCCAGTCACACCAGCTAATATTTCACATCAGCTCGGTGTTGCTCTTTTTATGAGAAGGTAACAATGTCGCATGGCATGAAAGAAACATGATGACTAGATGTTAGCACCAGTGTAACTGCATTCCAGCTTTTATTTTCCTTTGAAACTGGTTCCATTTGAGCAGAATGGAGAAGCACCTTGCTTTGCTAGAGGGGCCGAAGGCGTCCATGTTGGGAAACAATTTTCATAATTTAATATACGGTTGGGCTGCAGTTCATAGAGCCTCTAAAACCACAGGGGCTCAACAAGGTGGAGATTTACGTTTCACATCAAAATCCCAGAGGCAGCCCAGGTTGGCTGGGACAATCCAGAGAGTCAGAACCCAACTTCTGTCTTGATACTTTGCTATTTCTGGCCTTGACTTTGACCTTGAGGTCTAAGACACTTGTATCTGTCTTTCACGCTGTAAATCCAGTGATAGGGAAGAGGATGAAGGGGCAGAAATCATCCATTTGTGTCTTTGCAGGCAGTTTCCAGGAGCTGCTCCACCCCTGACCTGTACCACATTGGCTAGGAATTAGTGTTATGGTTACACCTAACTTCAAGGGGGATGCTGTCTGCATTCTGGAAGGCCATGTGCTTGGTTAAAAAATAAAGGAGGTCACCAGCCCAGGTTGGATGCATGAGACAAGTGCTCGGACCTGGTGCACTGGGAAGACCCAGAGGGATCGGGTGGAGAGGGAGGTGGGAGGGGGGATTGGGATGGGAAATACATGTATATCCATGGCTGATTCATGTCAGTGTATGACAAAAACCACTACAATATTGTAAAGTAATTAGCCTCCAACTAATTAAAAAAAAAAAAAACAGAAAAAAAAAATAAAGGAGGGACTTGCCTGATGGTCCAGTGGTTAAGAATCCACCAGGGGATAAGGGTTTGAGCCCCAGTTCGGGAACAAGGTCCCACATTCTGCTGAGCAACTAGGCCTGCGTGCACAACTAGAGTCCATGCACTGCAAGGAAAGATCCCGCATGACACAATTAAGACCCAGTGCAGCCAAACCAATAGAGAAGAATAGAGAAAAGAAGAATGGCTGTCAGGGGACAGCTAGCAGTCTGCCACCAAGACCACAGGTGGACCCTGGCCCTCCCGACCCTGCTTAAACATCTGCAGCTGCTTAATGGACATTTGGTGCACACTTGAGGCACCACTTCCAGATAAAGGTGAAAAAGGGGTTTGCCACAATTTGAAAACAAAGATGAAACCAAATATTTTAAAATCAATAATAGTCATGATTTCATCCTAGAGAGAAGGATAGTGGCACCCTTTGCCATCTTTCACTGAAAACGTCATTTCTGGGGCTTCAGGTCAGCTCCACAGATGGTTTCTGTCTTCCTCTTGCTTTTCACTAAATTAGAAAAGCTTAAATTACCATTTGAAGTAGCAGCAAGTAATTGATGACTCCGTCTAGCAGTCCTGGTATTGTTGTCATAGACATACAGAGAAATTGGGGTGATTTCTCACTGAAAGGCACTTTCCAGGGTTTTGTCTGAACTGTGTCCACTTAGGGTCTCAAAGACTCTATATCTCTTCTTAGGACTGCTTCTCTGATGCCTCTCATCCTTTAATTCAATATTAGTCTAAGGCATGTCTTTATGTTCTCTTGCAGCCCTTGGATGTGGTTTTTAACTATGTGCAATAGATGTTCTAAAAACCACCAGGTGAAGCATAACCTGCCTGAATTCAGGGCCTTTTTTTTTTTAAATATAACTTTATTTTTGGCCATGCTGTGTATCATACAGGATCTTAGTTCCCAGGTCAGGGATCAAACACAAGCCTCATGGATAGATGCTCGAAGAGTCAACCAGTGAACCACCAGTGAAGTCCCTTGAATCCTTTTTTCTAAAAATCCTACTCTCTGTGTAACTTTGGACAAATTGTTTGAATTTTCCCTGCTCAACAATAAGGTAGAGATGAAGGTGATGGTCCCCCGTGCATATTCTGTGAGCTGAAGCACACGACCTCTGCTCTCCGTCTAGGCACACAATTCACTCAATAAAGATGCATCTTGGTGATGGGTATTGTTTTTAGGCACTTGTCAACTTTAGACCATCCAAGGCTTTCAGACCACAGTTCCGTCTTCTTGTGAAATCCTGCTTTCTTCTTTCTTCTCCCTCCTTAGAAGTCAGCAGCTTTCATCCCCAAGGTGGAGGTAGCTTCTGGATGTCTTAATTATTGAAAGGATCATTAAGTGCCATTAAGAATCAGAGAGACAGTCTTCACTTGCATTATGAGCATCATGAAGTGTCTTTTTGCCTTATTCATCATCTCAGAAACCCGTGAATCCGTGACCGTGAACTGACTGTTATTTGGGTGGGAAAGGCAGTCTTCTCCCAGCCACATGGTTCTCTGCTTGGCACTTGGGATGGTGTGCATGGCTGCCTCCAATGGCATCTTCAGTGCTAAACCAAGACCTGTATTGGAGAACACGAACTGGTCTTTGAGGATGACTTTGCAGAGGGCTGCTGCTGCTTTTCTGTGAGGAGCATTCCTTTCGTTGCCCACAACGTTGGTGCCTTTTGGGCCCTGGTCTCTGTGCGTCCTGTTTCATGAGATGCTCAGGAAACCGACAAAGCCTGCTTTCCCCTGTAGCACGTGTGTGGGGGCGGGTGAGAATGGGACAAGAAGCTGCGAGCTCGTCTCTCTGCAGAGGACGGTGGCTAGGACCCGGTCCTCGCTCTGCCCTCAGCTGCTTTATCCTAACTGTCAGTGGCACATGGGCCAGCATCTCACGGGACTTCGGGATTCCCAGAAGTCACTGGATGAGGAATTGCTCTATTGACCTGTGCTTCTATTTCTGTGAACACAGTGTTTGTAATTGATTTCGCAGGTAGTTTTAGAAGCTTCACACCAATGGTGAGGCTTTTGCCCTCTGTTTCCTACTTGTTTTGGCCTTTTTTTGTTCTTTAGTGATGGGAAACGAATTATATTAATGTCAGAAAGTGTCCCCCCCACCCCCTTTGTGTGCTTGTTCTGAAAAAATTTGAGGTTTTCTTTGTAGATGAGAAGAAACTAATAGCTTCATGTTGTAACCGGACCAATTTTTATAGCAGACACTGCCTGGGGCCAAATGAGCTGCTGAGTCAATAAAACCTAGTTTTCAGATATTCATCACTGCATCTCCTTTCCTTATTTTACATTTTTTGAGTGAAATCAGTTCACTCAGAGAATGATGTGTCCTGGGACCTAAATTCACAGCCATATTCACACAAAACCCTGCCCATGATTTACTTTTTATGGTATTATATTGAGTTGTACCATTTACATTTATTATTTTTATCATTAGCTTTTGTTGTTGTTGTTTAGTTGCTTAGTAATGTTTGATTCTTTGCGACCCCACAGACTATAGCCAGCCAGGCTCCTCTTGTCCTTGAAATTCTCCAGGCAAGAATACTGGCATGGCTATTTCTATCTCCAGGGGACCTTCCTAGACCGGGGATCAGACCCAAGTCTCCTGAATTGCAGGCAGATTCTTTACCACTGAGCCTCCTGGGAGCCCCTTATAGGCTAGATGAACCCCTTTGTGATTTGCGCTGAGACACAGCAAAATCGTAGAACAAAAATAAAAATTTAATATTATTTTATTAAATTACTAATTATAAAATATTAATATTTACTGAAAATATCAGTATGGAGGCAGATTCCAGACTGTTCACTGAAGCCAGCAGGGGTAAACCAACTAGCTGCAGTAACTCCCAGTTAGAAAATAGCTGATGAAGGTTTACTGTACAGTACAGGGAATTATACCCATTATCTTGTAATAACCGGTAATGGAATATGATCTGTAAAAATACTGAATCACAACGCTGAACACCTGAAGCTAATACAGTATTATAAATCAGCAACACTTCAACCAAAAAAAGTTAATGGGATTTTTGTGAAAACTGTAATGGCTTACATTTTAAACCTGTGAACACAATTGTTTTAATTCCTCTTTTTCTCTGAAGTCCCCAGACCTCCAGGGACTGCTCTTTGGGAATGCTTCCCCTCTCTGGATGAGAGCATTTCTGAGCCAGAAACAATGAATGGGGTATGGTGGGAGGGGGCTGGCCCCCAGTGAGGTATAAAGAGAACAAAAACCAGAAACGGAAGAAATAACACGTCTGGGCTTCTTATTTGGAAGAATCGGAGAGCTCGGAATGTAAGCTATGACCTCCTAAACGCTGCTGTTTCTTCTTCTTTGTCCCTTCCAGAGCAAAAGCCAGGGCTCCGTCTTCGTCCGGATCCACGCCCCGTGGCAGGTGCTGGCCCGAGAGGCAGAATTCTTGAAGATCAAAGTTCCCACCAAGAAAGTATGAGCATGTTTCTCCCGGGTTCTGGGGTCTCTCGAGGGCTGGATGGATATGAACAGTGTCGGGAATGGGGCTGGGTGGGACGTGGGTCTTGTGAAGTTGAATCACTCTTGCTTCCTTGGGAACCCCAAGGTTGGGCAGAAGGGACTTGGGAGACAGTGTCACCTCAGAGTATTGCTGACATGGGCTCTGCAAGAAGCTGGTCATTGCCGTGGTCCAGCTTTTCAACTTCTCCTTAAACCCCCTTCTCCCTTCCTTCCAGCCCAGCCAGGCATGTCTTTTTTTTTTTTCCACCCCGCCGCCCCCACCGCCCCAGATCACTGGTCTATAATCTTTTTTTAAAAGTCTTTATTGAATTTGTTACAATATTGCTTCTGTTTTATGTTTTGTTTTTTTGGCAATGAGGCATGTGAGGTCTTAGCTCCCGGACCAGTGATTGAACTCCGTCCCCTGCATTGGAAGGTGAAACCTAACCACTGGACCACTGGGAAAGGTCCCAGACTTTTCTTTAGAGTGCGCAGTGGTAAAAAAATCTGCTTGCCAATGCAGGAGATGAAGAAGATGTGCATTCAACCTCTGGGTCTGGAAGGTCCCAGGAGTAGGAAACAGCAACCCACTCCAGTATTCTTGCCTGGAAAATCTCGTGGACAGAGGAGCCTGGAAGGCTGCAGTCCATGGGGTTGCAAAGTCAGGCACAACCGAGCATGCACACACGTGGCAATGAGAGTGGGCAGCAAGCCTTGCTGATGGGAGCGTGCAGGGAGGTGTGGGTTCGCCAGACTTGCTGTGAAGACACCTTTCCTGCTTATGACACTGTCACTACGTGTGGTGTGACTATGGCTTTTGTAAAATAGAAGGTTCTTTCTCACGTGAGTTGATCACAGTGTTCATGCCCAGGCCCAGCTGGGACTGTGATCTTGTTGGCTGGCGTGGAGCAAGGCTCTAGCAGCAGTATTGTGGGAAAAAAAATCCCCAGGAAAGCCCCACAGTTTAGGTGATTTTCAAGGTCCTTTTCAGCCATTAGAGTCTATATATAATTTAAAAAATTTCCTGGAGAATTCCTGGGTGACAGCTTCCTTGCGTAAGAAAATCCAGCAAATATCTCCAAAGAAAAAGGAAGTGTGTCCACAGATTTCTGCAGGTTTGCTCTTTTTTTTTATTAAGTATTTTAGGGAAAAGGGATGGTCATTGACTTTGAACTTTTGAGGTGTTTCTAGGAAAGGCCCCAAGGCAGGCGACTCTGGTTTAACCAGGAGTGATCTGTGGGCGATCTCTGTTTCTCAGTCCCTCTCCCTCTCTTACACACACACACACACACACACACACACACACATCTTATCTCACAAGTGTTGACCTAGCTTTGCAGAGATCACAACTGGTCATCATCATGTCCACCCTCCCCATCATTAACAGAAGTTCCTATTGGCTGCGTTCTGTACAACCACTGTCGTCACCTGCCTTCTCGTCACCCTCTCCACGATCAGTGACATGGTTAGAGTCAGCAAAACAGTTGGATTAGCATCGTGGGCTGTGTTTACACCATCCTCACTACCAAGAGATCTGCGGCCCCATCAGAAATCATCCATCACATACCGTGTTGTGTGATGCCCTATCATGAACCCCTTACTCAAGAAGATGAAGCCTGTGGGTTCTTTTCTGATAGACTTATTAAGATGGATAGCACATCCATGGAAAGTGGACAAATGACTGCTGAACAGTGAACAAACATGGGCATAAATATAGCTACAGACATCTTGCCAATAAGAGGTACATGTTTAGGGGTCACACGTCTGAGTGTCTCGGTTTCGCAAGAACTATGCTGTGACCTTCTCTTCTTCAACTGCACTGCTCTGCCCTCTGTCTCCTGACCCCTCACTCCCACTCTGCTGTCCTCAGCTGCAGGCGCTGTCTTGAATCTGGACCTTGGCTCCTCTGATGCTTTCCTGGTCTGCTGGCCACACGACCCAAGTTAGCCTCGGGTGGAGGCGTCCACTTCCCTCTGGTGGTGTCCTCACTTAACTTACCTTCTGTTTCTCTCCCTTCTGTCTTCAATATATATATTTCTTCTCCTTTCTCTGGCTTATCTGAATAGCTAACGTTCTCTTAATTTCTTCGATTTGTATCTTGCTGCCTATGTTTTTATCTCTGCTGGCTGATCCCTGGACAGAAGGTGAGCAAACTCTGATGCCCTTGCTAGTGCTTCTGTTCCCCAGGACAATCCTTTTAGCAGGAAACGTAGAGACCCAGGAGAAGTGTGGGTCCTGCTTCTCCTCTCCCCTCTTCGCCTCTTCTCCGTTGCTAGTGTCTTCCATCCTTCCTTCCCCCGCCTGCTTTTCTGTCCCTTCTTCTTCCCCCTCCCACTTCTTTACTGGTGCCCCTTCCTAGCCTCCCTCCCTGCTCTTGAACATCCGTCCATACCCATCACTTCCTCCTTCTCTTCATTCCTGGTCTCAGCCCCTAAGCAATGCTGGCCTCTGGCCCCTCTGGTCTTTGCGTGTCCTTCCACAAGCTCATAGCTACGGGAGCATAGTTCTCACCATAGGGCATGCCTGCCCTGAGAGCCTATGTGTCCCCAAATACTCAGCCTGTTGGAACTTAGCATCCATCGTCTAGGATGTACCTGCACTTGAATTTGCAGGTAAGATGATTAGGACAAGGACGTATTATGATGAAGCTATCTTGGAGTTGCCTTCTGTTTCTTTTTTTAAAAAAATTATAATTTAAATTTATTTGATGTATGAAGTGAAAGTGAAAGTGTTAGTTGCTCAGTTGTGTCTGACTCTGAGACCCCAGTGGACTGTAGCCCACCAGACTCCTCTATCTATGGGATTCTCCAGGTAAGAATACTGGAGTGGGTTGCCATTCCCTTTGCCAGAGGGTTCTTTCAGACCCAGGGATTGACTCCAGGTCTCCTGCATTGCAGGCAGATTCTTTACCGTCTGAGCTTCCAGGGGAGCCCCATTTGACATATAATCTTGTGTAAATTTAAGTTGTACAAAGTCTTAATTTGGTCTGTGTATAGATTGTAATATGGTTGCCGTTGTAGCGATAATTAGCATCTTTGTCATGTTATAAAATTATCCTTTGTTTTCAGTGGCTTGAATCTTTAAGTTCCAGTCTTTTAGCAAGTTTGATGGTTATGATACAATATTGTTGGGCATATTCGCTGTGCTGTGCATTAGATCTCTAGGGTCTGTTTACTATGTGTTGCAAGCTTGTGCCCTTAAACGTCATGTCTTATTCCTCCAGCCCCACCCCCTGGTAGCCACCATTTTTTTTTAAGGTTTGCAGCTATTTTATTACAAGTGTACATTTAACACAATGAAATCAACACTGATATATTGAAGCCTAGTTAATAGTAGTGTAATAATATTTGGATGATTATATTATTTTAAACAGCAAACTACACTGAAAAATTAGTATGATAAACTTCTAGGTCATAATATTATTAAACATACAATATATACATTGACAACATGGTTGCTCAAAATTTGAAAATGGAAGTGAACTTGTTTGGGCAGAGTCAGAGTTCGACATGATTTGAAAGGAGCGGGTCTGTGGAAGGACCCCCTTGTTTCAACGAGCTTGGCTTCTTAGATTTCACATGTAAGTGATATTGTACAGTATTTTTCTTTCTCTGAATTCTCTCACTGGGCACAATATGCTCCAGGTCCATCCTTGGTGTTGCAAATGGTGGAATTTCCTTCTTTCTGATGACTGAATCATATGCCATTGGATCTGTGTGTGGATATATAAAATCTTACATATATAATAATGGATAAAGATATATAATGTGTGTGTGTGTGTGTGTGTGTGTGTGTGTTCAGTCACACCTGACTCTTTGCAACCCCCACGGACTGTAGCCAACCAGGCTCCTCTGTCCTTGGAATTTTCTAGGCGAGAATACTGGAGTGGGTTCCTAGTTCCTCCTCCAGGGAATCTTCCCAACCCAGGGATTGAACCCATTTCTCTCTCATCTACTGCATTGGAAGGAGGGTTCTTTAGCACTAGCGCCACCTGGCAAGTGCCGATATAATGGATATTGAATGGATAAAGATTTTATGTATTTGTATATATAAATAAATATATTATGATTTATATATTATGTATTAATTATAATGTATTGTAATCTGTATAATTATATACTATATTATATTCATTATATTAATAATTATATAATATTTATATATTATTAATGCATATATATAAATTTTTAAGTATATGTATATCTTTATACACACACACACACACACACACATATATATATATATGTCTTCTTTATCCATTCACCCATTGACAAACTCTCAGGTTGTTTTCTCCCCTCCTTCCTTCCTGGTTTGGAGCCATAGCCTGGCAGACTCTGCATCAGACGAGTCCTTGAGAGACCAGCCTTCCAGCTCTGGTCCTGGACCCACTTGCTATGTGACTTGGGAGCGCAGAGTCTTAGCCACTGGACCACCAGGGAAGTCCCTCCTGTTTTCTTAATGGGCTTGGGAAGTGACTCCAAAGAGAGTAACCACGTTTGCAAGGATTCGTGTCCTGGCGGCAGGGGGAGCAAGGAGGAAGACTGAGGCATAGGGCGGGAACACTTAGCATCTTCCGGGCTGGTGGAAGCTGGATCATAACTCAGCAGGGTCCGGAGAGACCGGGAAGATGGGGAGGAAATCCCCAAATTGAGATCTCGAACCTGGACAAATCCACAGTAATGAGTCCAGGGACACGGAGTCCTGAGCACAGATATTAACCGGGAGGGGGAATCTTGGAAGGAAGTGTTTGTTTTCCAAAAACAACAACAGAGGAGCCAGTATCTTGTGAGGGACACTCAGGGTCCCTGCACAGGAAAGAGGCAGGAGGCCTGGCCTTTGGCCCCGAGCAGCCTGGGAGAGTTTGAAGTGCATGCTTTCTGACCTCTGCTCTTCGCCGAGGTGGCCCGTCTTGATTGTGGTCAGTATCTATGTTTATTTCTCACCCATCTTATTTAAAATATTTTATTGGAGGAG